ATGCGTGTGCCCAACAACCCCCCCCCCCCCCCCAAAAAAAATCTATATTTCTTTTATGCACGAAAATGACCTGTATGACGAAATTAAAGTAATAAATAAAAATATTTGAATGAACATTTAATTTTATTTTCTCTTCTAATTCAAAAATATATTTCAAGTTATTCACATGTAAAATAAAACTCTTTTGGATTTTTAAAATCGTATATTTACGTATATTAGAAATGATTCAATGTACATTTCTCAAGACACGCCAATTGAAAAATGTTTTTATTTGTTCACTGGTTTCAGTTTAATTTCACTTATAAAAATAAATACAAACTATTCAATATAACAATGAAAATATCCTCTGGCCTCATTTTTCAGTTTCGTTTTCACAATACATGATAACCTGCTGACCCACTTTGATCGCGAATAGTTAAAATCTATGAATAATTGCCGCTCCTTGTAATTGCCATGTTAAAAATATTGTTGTAAATGCAAAATATCAACTCAACCAGAGATGGTTTCAAAAGACAGCCTTGACTTCTATCCTTTCCTTCACCATTACAACATGGGTTCCCCTCCCAAATATGAAGGAAAATGTAAATTCACAAATGGCGAATCGTGAATGTGCAGGCTTCCCCCCAAATATTTTCTTCCTGGATGGTTTCTTCTGGAGCCCGACTCTGCGTCAAACTAATGGGGCCTGGATTACCTGTTCCGCCCCAAATCTTTTTCCATGTTCGTAAGAATTTAATGGGATCACACGTTCTTCCTTCTGCGATGTTCAGGTGAAGGAATGGGCGCCGCTCGTCGGGAAGACCAAGCCAGCCCAATCGGATGACAAGTTCTACTCTGATGAGGACGAAGACAAAAAGGACGATGCCTCTGACAGCAGCAGCGACGACGGCAGCAGCAGCAACAGCGGCAGCAGCAGCAGCAGCAGCAGTGAAGGTTCGTGTCACAACTCGGTTTACTACAATACAAACTATGCGATCTACACTCCTGTTGTTAGCTGTTAATTAAAAATTTGCGACATGGTGCATATAATGTGGCGATTTTCTGGTTGCACAGCGTCAGAGTCTGGAAGCAGCAGTGACGAAGAGGCTGAGAGCAGTGATGAGTCCGATAAGAGTTCCACTGGCTCAGAGAAAAGTTCCGGCGAATCGGAAAAGAGCCCTCACGAATCCGAACAGAAGAAAAAGAAAATGACGAAGAAAAAGACCAAGAAAGCTCAGGCGGAGAAACGCCAACAAAACACATCTGACAGGTACTCCAAAAGCCCAAATGTACCTTCAAGTGGGTAGGGGAAAAAGTTCACTGTAAACCGAGGTGTGCTGTAAAAATACCCGCTAATCTGTTTCAACAATATGGACACTGAATGAGGATATGAAGGCGACCTGACCGACGTAAATCCAGATTTTCGCTTTTAATGCACTAGCGAGGGAACTTTTTTGTTTCAAATTTTTTGCCGGGGTGCGAATGCTGAACTGTGACATAGTGGAGGTCCACTGTATATGTCCCATTGACACAGAATGGAGGTACAAAGACCACCTGGCAATTTCACCGCTTAGTTGGTCAAAACTGAAGCCCCTTTAACACTGTCAAGAAGAAAAAAAAAAAATCCCCCTACACGAGTCCCATTAAGAAGCTAATCAAGCAGAATGGTCCTCCACCAGCGTGGGCCACGTTTACACGGCTAATGGCTAATGACTTGTGATTGGTCACCAAGCAGCCCGGCGTTAGCAAAACGTGCTAGTTGACTCATTACGGCGCTCTTTTCAAATTCACATCCTTCACACAAAGTGGCAGCCAATGCCCGCGCTCTGCCTGACCCCGTTCTTGCCATTTGCCGGCGCAATTAGCGCCGCTGCCACATGCACGTGATAATTAGCGCCGCTCTGCCCGCCCACCCGCCTCCCCCCCAATGCCTCCACAACAATCACGGCATCATGCCCTCATTACGGCCCAGTCGTTCCAGGCCCAGCCTAATCAGGCCCGCCGTGATTTATATGACTTTTTCCTGTTCGCCTCAAATGAAATCTGTAGGCCAAACGAATACTGGCTTTTCATCATGGCCCAAGTTAGACAGTCGGTTAGCGTCACAATTTCCCCCATTAATTTAACAGCCGAAAGTAGCGGGCGGGCGCAGCGGAGTAAACACTCATTATCGGGACAAATTGAAGAGACACGGAGCCAGCCAATGAGACGGGACGGCAGTGGAGAAATGTAACATTAAATTAGCTTGGCAAAGGCATTGATCGTTTTGTTTTTCTGACCTACTTTGCATTTCGCCAGGAATTCCCGTTGAGTTCATTGCGTCGAGTGCCTACGTTGCAAAGCCGCGCGCAATTGGTGACAATCCCCAGTGTACTGTATCGTCATGCCTTGTGTATGCACTCTCGGGATAAGTTTCCTGTCAAACTGAACGTCAACCAAAAGTTGCTTTGAAACAATTTCATCAAGTCTGTGTAGCCTAATGGTAACAAATGATGCAAAACACCATTGGATGGACTAACAAAAATTAGCATCCATATTGCAGTAACTAAATATCCAGCAAATGATATTCAAGCAACACATGTAGAATATAACACTTGCAAGTATATCTTCACGCTCTGTGAAGAACAATTAGTTATTTCTTTAATATACACAGTTACGGGAAGAATTATAACAGCACTTTGTTTCTTTATCTAGTTCGTTTTAGTTCCCTGTACCACTTAAAGGTGAACTATCGTGTGCTATTTTTCTTTGTTTCATTTGCAAGGTTGGAACTGATAAATGACATCTGCATTCATTCAATTTTGACTGACTTTTATTTCTCCATGACACATGCCTTAAAATGGCAGCAATCCGGAAAGTTTAGGAAAACGTGATGCCACGTTTGACGTTCTTCTTTTGTCTTCCAGCGACTCTGATAAAGACAGTGACGAGCCCATGCAGGAAAGTAGCAGCTCGTCGGGCGAAAGCTCCTCGTCAGAGTCTGTCTCAGACTTGGACTCGGTTTCTGCCGCGAAGCAGCAGAGGAAGAACAACCTCCAGCCCAAAGCCAAGGTAACGCTTTATAGTTATGCCTTTTAGCCTGCAACCACTTCATTTTACACTGTAGCTTTCTATGCTAACTTGGCCAACCTGAGTCTATTCACTGTGGTATAGGTGGAAAGCACGCCCGAGAAGGAAGTCTCCTTGCTGGATCTCGACGACTGTGAGTTCACTAAGTTGCAGTAAAATGCGCTAAGGTTTCGCAGCTCAAATCTGCTGTTCCAGCCTTCTATTATCATTAGAAAGGCAATTATCCTTCAAGTCGTTTCTATTCATTCTTGGAATGGTCATAACTAAATGGAGGAAGTGAGCTAGTCTGCGAGCAAAGGGAAGAAAATAGTCACACACAAAAATGTGTGATTTCCCCCAAAACTTGGTAGTCCATGTCATGTGGTTTTTCTTTCAGTTCTCCCAGCGCCCACAAACACAACCAAGTCCTCGGTGCTCTCCTCCAGTTTGCTGTCTGACCTGGAAGGACTTTCGCTCTCTGCCGTCTCCGCCACCACCACGCCGGTGAGCACGTGTGTGTGTGAATTTGCATGTGCGTGTTCGTTTCTTTGTGTGTTGGTCTTTGATTGTGGGCTTGAATGTGTGTGTGTGTGTGTGTGTGTGTGTGTGTGTGTGTGTTTATTCAAGTTTTTTTTTTTTCCTGTCCATGTGCATTTTCTGTTTTTACGCATTTGATGATGAGCGCGTGTGTGTGTTGGCGCATTATAAAAAGTGTCAGGCAGCACTTCAAGGTAGTGCTGAGAGTCTGTTGTTCTCGGCGGAGGCAGTGAAATGAGCTTCTCTTTCCCGGCGGAATGTTTTTACTCCCGAAGCCGACGTATTGACCTTTTCTGACGCCTTCTATTTATGGCCCGTCAGGATGCCTCCCTCGCTGCGCCTGTCTCGCCTGCACCCTTGAACTCTATTTCGCTCGGCGGGCCTTCTTCGCGCACGCCACGCCATACGTTGCCCTCCATCTCTCTGTTTCCCCCCCCCCCCCCCCCACACACACACCTCCCGCTTGTCCTTTTTGTGTATATCTGATGGTCGACCTTTCCCGCTGTCTCTTGGCCTCCGTGTGTACTTTGTATCCCGTCGCCTGCTCCCACAAGGGAGGAAAATGTCCAGATCATTCTTCCTATTTCCCAGGCGTCAGCCGTGTGTATTTTCTACCTCAGAGCCTTCTTCCAAACCAGGCTTTCCCCACCTGTAGTGAAAGAGGCACACCACCAAACAAAAATGTAAAAACAAAAAAAAAAAAAAGTGGATCGTCAATACCACAATGGGCAAGTACTGATACCAGGTGTCAGTAATCTTTGTATATTTGAGCGTTGACGAAGTAAATCTGTATAGTGTAACTAAATGGCAAGTACACTGCAATGTTGTCTTTGTAAAGACGAAGTTTATGCTTTAATGACGTGGGCGTGTTCGTCCGCACCGCCTTTCCCAGCTCGCCGGGTGACTCTGACTTTCCCTGCCCGCCCGTCACTCAGCATGATGGACAGCCGCTCTCAGCCTGCCAAGCAGGTGAAGGCCAGCCACTAGAAATGCAGATTACAACATCTGATTTAGAGGCAATTCTCTGCATAAATACATGATATGCGCAGCGGGGTAAATAAGTTCACCTTTTGATATGTGCGCGCACACAGTCTGGCCCCCGGTGTCATTTCTATTTCTGCGCAATCTGCCCACGGAGGCGGCGAGCGAGTCTCAGCTGAGCGCTCGGGTCCTTTTAGAGAATTACTGCATGGTTATCAAAGGCATTTAGATTAACCTCGGTCACTGCCTTTGACCTGTGCCACCTTCCCCCACTCTCTCGCATTCGCCAGCTCCCCTCTAATAACATTTTGACATTAGAATCTCTCACCGACGCCTCCTTAAATCCCAAGCGTAGCCGCGGACCTCTTCCAGCGCCGATCCTGATCGTGTTTCATTCATAATTAGCCGACCGGGGCGACCACTGGGGGGGAAATTGAACTGTCAGTGGCATTTGACCCCATCTCGCCCAGAAGAAGGCCATCATAATTTGTTCATTTGGTGTCCCATCAGGCCACCCTGCCTCCCGCCGCCCGGCACGGGCGCCCCCAGTTCCCTGCTGACTCGTAATTAGACGTGAGCTCGGAGAGCAAACCTCTCGCCGCCATTCAAACGGCGCCAGATTGACTCTTGCCAAGGATGGGGGGAAAAAAAATTGGAAATAGCTTATTGGCTGACTTTGAGAAATGTTTGGGTCTTGCATAATTTCTTTTGAAACATTCACAAGAAACATACAGTGGTGCCTTTGAATTAGGGCTGCCAAGGTTCGTCAGTTTGTCATGATCAAAACCGCCGAAAATAAATTTGATAATTGACATTGTTGATGATGGAAGCTTTGTTTTCCTTTCAAAAACTGTCTTGCCTCCCACGGCCCAGTTTTCCTTCTAAATGGAAGGCGAGATACAACTAACTTTAGCTGATGCAAAAAGTATGGACCCTATTTTAACCTCTTTTAAAAATCTAATATAGATTTTGTATTTTGTATTTTTTTTTTTTTTGTTCTTTAATGGAGGAGAATTTAAGTTACCTTGTGATGTGGGATGACTTTCAACAGGATTGTGGGACCATGAATTCTTTATGATCACATGAATATTGAAAGGTGTCTCACCATGATGGCCACTTATCAGTGTTTGGGAGACAAATATATAAGAAAATGGTCATAAATTAATAATTTGAGTTTTTTTGAAACGGGGAGCGACTTGTCAATTATCTTTTTTTTTTGTTCTGAACATGCACATTCATGCGTTACATGGACTGGGCAGCGTTTGTACGATGGGATCCATCAAATAGTTTCAGGCATACTGTAACTGTTCCTTAGCGTTAGCCGTCTATTAGCACGAACGTGTGCCGGTGGCAGTCTTGGTAATTAATGGTGTAAGATTAGCTCATTAGCTAATAAATTGGCATAAATGAAGTAACCTCGCAGCGAGACTCCAACTTACATGAGCGAGTTGGTGCGCCAGGCTATGGCAAACATTTATTTAATTCAATTTGTCGCCAAGGTCTTTGCGCCTTCCCTCAATTAATTGTCATCTCCGCACACCGAAGGGGACAATTAGGCCTTAAAGTTCCTGCTTGAGGGCACAACGAGCTGCTTTTTTTTTTCCCCGCTCTCCGAAACCAGAAATGGATTTTCAATATAAATCTCCTTCCCTGCATCCCTTTCTTGTAAATGGGCCGTCATGCGCGCGAGGCTACGCCCGGCTCCCGTTAGCCCTTTCGGATATGTCAGCGGGATTTTCAGGTCATTTGCCATGGAGGAATCGGAAGCGCATCCTCGCCGGCCGCCGCTCTGAAGGTGACTGGCGGCGGGCGTCATCCATCACGCCGCCTTCCTTTAAGTTGACGCATAATAGAGCCTCTCAATCAACGTGTTCCCTCGTTGTCACCTTCTTTTCCTGCTGTCCGCCGAGAAGATGATGACAGTGACGAGGAGGAGGGAGGATGGGGGGAGTGGAATGCGGCTGACAAGGGAGTCAAGGTTACATCCCTCTTGTTGCCTTTATTTACACTTGAGGTGTTATGGCCTGTGGAACAGGACAAGAGCTCACGTTGGCACTGCTGTCAGACGTTAACTGTCCACTGTGTCAAATGAGTGATAATAAGCCCTCGGAAAGCTTGTCTGGCTTCCCGGAAGACGGCACAAAGTAGGCGCACGCCGAGGGACCTTGAGCCAAGCGGCTAAATCGCCGGCCAACGTTACGGCCGGCTTTATTGACTTCGACGTGTCTGAAAGCGGCCCGATAAATTTGCTGGTGTGACGGGCGCCCATGCTAACTAATATTTGCTTGGTCTCCTTTTTACAGCATGTTGAGGAGATTGTTAATGGGATGGCGTCAAGGACTCCTGCTGCTGTTCGTGAAGTTTTTAGTGAGAAGGAATGAAGGTTTTTATGTTCCAGTAATGCCTTGGCAAGGGAATTCAATCTAGTTTTTAAATTCATTGTACATCTTTAAATTGTTATAAACGTGATATAGTGTCAAACTTTTTTCCATCGTCTCACTTTTCTGTGTTAAGCACTCACCTGGTCCAAAAAGTAAATAAAAGTAAATAAACCGATTGACACCATGTTGTCATACTCGATTAGCCTAGAAAATGAATACAATTTTAAAATTTACACACACACTCTCGAAGTTAGGAAATACAAACCAGTTTCAACAGTGGTTGGTTATTTCCTCCTTTTCGGGCTCATTAGTGACCCTTCCTTCAAAGTTAAGAAAAAAAAAAAAAGAGTCACTGATCAACATGAAATTGAGTGGACATGTCTATCATCATGGGACGCAACAAAAGGTCTCTTGGGTCCATGGCTGAAATGAAACAGGAAGTTAGCCATTTTGGTTTGGTGGTCTTCAAAGGCAAATTAGCTCATCGATGCCCTGCCAATACTGTACTTAAAAAAAACATCTAACCACCGCAACAGATTTGCCAATGAGCACAAATTTGTGTTGATGTCCGTCAACAAAAATTTTGAGGTTAGTGATGTATGGGGAAAAAAAAGATAGACTGTCGTCACCATACTTGACAACAAATGTGATCAAGAAGCCCAGTGAAGACGTGAGAAGTTGAGAATGTCGCCGTTCGAAAAAGCATCCCAGCTTGCTGTTTTTACCCTCCGCTTCATGCAATTTCCTGCGACTGAAAAGGGTATAAGCTCCTTTTTGTTTTTAAAGAAACCAAGTAGCCTCTCAATGGTGCCTTTGCGAGCCCTTGCCTTTCTATTCTTTACATTCTAGTGAACATCTAGTCCATTTCCCTCTGCCAATGAGGACATTTCTAAATTGGGCCTATGCTTGTTCACAAGGAGTTTTATTCCAGGAGGAGGGGCCACTCTAATCGGATGCAGTTCTTTTTCCGAGTTATGTCCTGACATTTTATGTGTTTTCCCCTTTACAGGTGACGAGTCCGTCTTTCGGGCCGGTGAAAAGCTACGAGTTGCTTCACCACATGACTGGTAAGGGCCTGTCTGCCAAGTATCACTTCCCCCGCCAGACCTGCTTGTACGGGCGCTGCATGGTGGCCGTGCAAGTCACGTTGACCAACGGCTGCGAGCGCCCCCTGGAGGAGATCCACGTCGGAGAGCGTAGCCCCGTTGGCCTGAAGATTCACTGTTTTAACACCATCGGTGAGTTTAGTCATCACGGAGGGACGAAAATCTGCTCTGTTGGGAGACCATATATCAAATCATTTGTAAAATCGTTTTGCGTAGTATTGCTTTAAAAAAAAAAAAAAAAGGATGAAGTTATCCTGATGCCTCCAAGTCCATCAATACGGCCTGAGCTAATCCCCACTAGTTAGCATCGATCACGCTCCGGCCGCGTTCTGCCGCATGACGGTTTCCCTCCCGTCAAAGCTCGCACTCGTGCGTGCCCAGCGGCCGATTGCGGCACATTGATCGCCGTCCGAGGAAGTGGCGTGGCCAAACTGCGGGTGATTGGGATCGATGGGCAGAAGCCCGCAGGAAGAAAAGGCGGCATTCACCCAAGCAAATCTTTACTTGCTGCTTCTGTGTCGATGGGGGATAAATGATTATTAGAGTTTCAAGCGCTGTGATGTGTTTTTGGACTTAAGCCCCTGTTTTCCAACTGAAATTTTTAATTTAAACACATTTGGAGGTGCCACGAAGTCCTTTCATACTTCACAAAAACAAAACACGTCGTTGCATCATCTTCCCAGAGTCTTACAGCCATCATACTATTTTCATTTCCCTTTTTTTGAAATTGGTCAATTTTACAGTAAACAGCTGAGTGCAAAACAGCTTGAAACAAGTAATCTACATGTCTTTTTTTTCCCCCCTATTTTTGTAGACCTGTGCGTGCCAGCCGTATTCGTGTCATCGGTGATGTGATACCATTTTCTCCCATTTCTTGCGGTAGAGAACGCTAAAGAATACAGTACTTTACAAAGTGTCTTAACACTTTTCAAACAGTGTACGAGGGCTAAAACTGTATTAAAAAATCTTTTTATATTGTCTCCATATCACAGATTTTAACCTTATGGAGCGTTTTTTGTCTTGATTCTATCAACTGTTGTGTGGCACCTCATCTCCTTGACGCTGATGCATCATAAGCTCGTTGTCGTGGAAACGTGCTGCAAGATTGAAGGACGGGCTTCTCATGCGCACACCGGTGGCCTTGACTTGCGAGCTAACGCACGGCTGTACCTGTCTGTTCCACTCTGCCGGCATCCCCCTCCTTCTCCTCGCCACCCTTGTCACTCACAGCAAATTCCCCCACTTCTCGTTTGTCTCTCTTCCACACAGAGCGCTTGGATCCGGAGGCCTCGGTGACTGTTTCCATGGGCGTCGACTTCAAGGACTCCACACAAGCGGCCAACTTTCAGCTGTGGTAAAAAGAAAAAAAATTCCTACATCATTCCACAAATTCACAAATTTCAAGATTGTCAACTACTACTTCGACATTCAACAAAACAGATTCACATTGTTCCCATTTGAGATTCGACACATGTCGCACATTTAATTCACCTTGGTAACAGATTTCAACATGCCACTAATTTCCAGGTCCCAACAAAAATTCACCATTCATTTCCAGTCCGCAATTTAGTATCGTTCAGTATTGTTTCCTTCAGTATCCGAACCGCTTATCCTCTATCATTTAACATAATTCCACATTCTGCCGTATTTTTTCATTCAGCAGTCAGTTACACGCAATTTCTCCCCAAATTGCAAATGTCTAGTGTTACAGCCCACTTGCATCAGGGCTAAGTAGTAGCAGTAGCCCGCCAGATCCAGCAGCAGTCGTGTGGTCGTTGGTCGACATTTTATAATGTGCGTTACCGCCACCTACGGGGTTGTACTAGAACAGGATCACTGAGAATGTCGTGAAAAAAAAAAAAAAAAGTTCGTCTCACCGCTACCTAAAGGACGAGAGTGGATCAGCAAATCAGACCGATGTTTGTTTACGCCTCCGTTCTCACCTTACTTCCCACTCTGTGCCAGAATTCTCACTTGAGACCACAGCCACAATTGATTAGCGTTTCTCCAAGATAACAATTATTCTCCCGATAATCGGGCCCTGGCCCGCTTCCGCTCGCTAAACGCCACTCAATAACCTTTTAAGAAAATCTGCCTTGGCACAGAGGAATCTATCCTGCCACAAAACTTCACTCTAAAAATAATTACGTTTGCAGTTGAATTTGTTTTCAAAGTGAAGCCCATGTGATGTGTGTGTTTGTGTGGCGGCTCAGCACCAAAGAGGAGCACTTCAGTGTTTCCATCCAGCCCGCTGTGGGCGAACTGCTGACACCCTACAGCCTCTCGGAGACGGACTTCTGCAAAGAGCAAAGTAAGCCCAAATACGCTATCCAACTCACACCATTGTAAAAACAAGTTCATCACTCCATAGTATGCTCCAGACCAGTAAACTGCTGTGCGTTGCAAGGCATGATGTTCCAGACCCAACTCCCTCCCACAGGTAAACTCCGGGGCATGAACGAGACCTCGGCAACTATCGCCATGGCGACAACAGGCATCTCCAATCAAGCCGTCGCCAAGCGAGTCCTGTCGGTGGCCAATGTGGGCATGGTGGCCACCTCTGAGAGTCATATACACAGGTCAGTCAAAATATAAAATGTGGCCATGACAACAGCTGTGCTCCAGTCAAGGGCGCCTTTAGTTCCTCAGCAACTTTCACACAAGGCAATTGCATCCTGCTTTTCACATTTTTTTAAAGTAATTTTACACATCCCACTTGCTATAAACTCATTTCAACATATTTAGAGCCATTTTTTAAACTATTCCTTTGCGCCTGTTCTCGCTCTCATTCAAGCACATGCGTGTGCGCGTGCGTGTTGACATGCCAGGGGAATGCCCCAAGATGGCCGACTGTGTAATTGGGTGTACACAGAGTGTGCTAATGAGCTTCCTCCTCTGTCGCGCGCACCTTGAGAGATAATTGGGACAGCGTTGTGCTTCCTCCATCTGTCTCTCCTCCACTTCCTGGTTGTCACCCTCTCACGTGTGAGCGATTCCTACAGATTGAAGGTAGAGGAGAGAAATGCCGGCAAACGCAAAAGGAGGGTCGAAAAATCAATGTCAATATCCGATAGCGCGCGTACGTGCTGCGCTCACCAGAAGACGACGCGTGGCCTCGTGATGAACTCTCTCTTCACCACTCAATCATGTTCTCTCGTTGCGAACACGGTGGGACGACGTTTGGAGCGTTGATTCAGTACGCCACCGTGACATGTTACTAACAAGGCAGAACTGTGCACTAGTTGACATCTGCTAGTGAAGACCTAGAATGTTCAGTAGAGTTTTGTCACCACCAGTAGTTGTGCAGTTTTTTTTAATTAAAAGAAAAATAATTTTCTTGACATGTAATTTTAAGAAAAAAAATCTATATGAAAATACGTTTAAAATCCATGCCCTGTACATTTTTTAATGAATAAACTAAATTGCCTTTACTACAAAATATAACAATGCCTGAAAAAAAACGAAATTAAAAAAAATTTAATTCATTTACTTTGTTGAACAAGAGAAGGAAAAAGTTTTTTAAAAAATTCCAACTAGTTCTTAGAATTTTCAACAGTAAGTCTAAATGTCCTTTCCCGCAACGTAAAAAAAACACTTTTGAATACCAGTCACCTTTCCCTTGAATTTTTTAAAATTGAAATTATAATAGATAAAATCACACATTTTCTGTGTGATGTTAGTTTTAAAAATGTTAATATTTCTATTATTCTGCCTTATTTGTTTGATTGTCAAAATAGAAATTAATGGTCTTTCCCGTAGTATTATCAGCTGCAGTTCTTGTGTTGAACAGCAGGGTGCAGCACTGCTTCTCCGAGCCCTGCTGGGTGGCTTGGGGGGGGGGGATGCTATGGTTGGGTAAGGGGGCTGTGCCTGCCAAAGCGCCCAAATTGATTGCTGTGAGGGAGGATGGCAATAAATCAGGCAGGAAAGCAAATGTAGAAAAGACTGTTCTTGTTTGTGTCCAAACAAGCGGAATAAAATAAATGCGCTCCATTTTTCAGTCCGTTTGAAGGCAAATGTGATGGAGTGTTACCCGGCCCCCAAATACGCCAGCGCTTTGTTTAGAAAAACACAATTCAATTAGGATTTAACCCTAACTACGCCCACTTGTACCGGTCCCTTTTTTCCCCCCCCCCAAGCCACGTTTACTTCATCCAGTCAGTGATGGGTGAATAAATACCAAACATCTTTATAGAAATGTCATTGCTGTTCCCTGTATTAGTCTAAAATGTTAGAGGTACCCACAAAAATAAAATCTGCATATTTCATCTCGTGACTAAGTCCATCTTTTACATTGCTGTCCCCGAACTCTTCTCAGAGGACATGGAGCAATAAATAATGCAATAAATAAAAAAAATTGAGCTGTTTGATTTGTGTCATAGGCGAAAATTATGCTGCATGCGATTACCTGGTGGACGACCTGTTTCTTCTTCTCGAAGCGTTACAGCGATCAATTTTTTTTTACAAAACAGGCTTAATGAAATACTGTATCTAAGCTAACAATTTTCCGATGTTATTGTCCAAAAACCATTCAGTCTTTCAAGCTTGAGTCGACATAATGCTGTATGGCACTTCTCAGGTGACGATTGATTGATTGATTGATTGATTGATTGCAATGTTGTAAAAGCAATGCCGCTCACCCTGGGAGCTCCCTGCCCATTTTGTTTTTGTTTTGAACTTAAATCTGTGAAGTAATTTTAAAAAAAATCATGAAAAAATAATTTCTATTTTGTAAATTTGACAAACAATGGTTTTCCCGAAGTGAGATCCTGACGAGCGTCAAACCCGGAAGCGTGACATCACTTTAAGCCAACAATAGCGGGGCTCACTATGGAAAGTGTACAAAGCCAGTTGGAAAGCGACGTTTCAAATGTATCTGAGGGAATCCAGGTGTGTGAAGCATCGGAGGAAGGGGAGGTTGTAGGCAAGATGTATGTCAGACCATACATGTATCAGCCAGATGCGGAAAATGTGACGGACATGGAGTGGAGACAAGATCCGTGGGATTGGACGAACAGTAAACTATATAGGCTGCGGTTTTTAGCCTAGCGTTATTTGTTTCCAATTCGATGCTGTGCCATGCTATAAATTGCGCACTATGGTATTACCTACTCGGTCCTTGTATTTATTCCAGCTTGCGCTGAGAGCAGTCATAGTGGGTTGGTGTCCTACATTGTCATTCCTAAGGTAGTTCTGTTGCGTTGTCGGCCACTCCGCACAATATAACGCCAGCATTGTTAGTTGTAAACCATGACAGAGTATTCCATCCATGCACTCATATAGTTGGAATATTTTTGTACAGGATTACATCCATGTACACGTATAATACTTTGAATCAAATATTGTCATCAACAATAGCCAGAGTTATTCATTAATTTTCACACCGACCTTTTCTTACAATTCCCGTTGAGAAAACAGAGATCTTCTAAGTGCCTGTAACAAAGAATGCTCGTCGACACCGGCGTGAAATTCATTCGCTTTTGCGAGAATGAAACTGTATCGTTCCAATTTTCTGGTCCATTTATGTGCCCTATTCTTTTCTTTTGGCCACTCAAACAAACAGTTTGCCTGAATGTGAACAGTGCATTGCCACACAGCGCCGAGGCATTTCGCCAAATCACTAACAATGGCAAAGAGCAATTGATGGGACAATCGACAATGCGTTTCAATGGCTGACTGGTGACTCGGCATTCTGTAAATGCCTGTATGCAATGTATTTTGCAGGTCTCTGTGAAAAAAAATTTGGCTGTACCTGTCTTAAGGGTTTAAATGCGGCAAATGAAAACATGTGGCTTGACGCAGCTCCAACTGAAAGCTTGGCCCTCGTCCCTTCAGCCTGAAATTTCCCGCATGACCAAGTTTGGAGGGTTGACGCTTGTAATCAGGCCTAATACCCGGTGGCCATCTGGCCACCGCCACTGCCCGCCTGGCCGTCCACTCGTTTGAAGGACACTCGTCCGTCCCGCCGTCCGTCCGGCTGGAGCGCCGCCACAATGGCGTCCATTTCCTGAGCAGCTTGTGTACTTGTGACGGGTTAAGTCGTACCCCCCACCCTTCCACGCTCTCACCGGGAGCCAGTGTAAAGGTGAGGGCGGCTTTATCCCGGGTGAAGGGGAGGCAGATGGCACCTGCGCGGGCTCTGTCAAGTGAGGAGAATGGCGGGTAATTGGAGAGCCCCGCCGATCGATGCCAATCTGCCTGCTGGGCTTGGCTCTGCTTTGCTTTGCTATTCTACGCGCCGCAATTAACGCACCGTTTTAGGCCCCAAACTGAGGCGAGTGCACGGGAATACCAATGGCCTGTTTAGCGCGCCGCTTGACACCGATTGAATGCGTTCCCGGGTCAGCCGCCCTGACTCGCCATGATAATACGCCTGCGCATCGTATCCAATTTTAATCGTGATCACAATTTGGGCTGGCGGGATTTAAAATGTCATCATATGTCCTCACGTAGGGCCATACAAGTGTATCGAAAAAAAAATTTCGTCATCGCAACAATGGCACTTGCAATATGCATTGTTTGAATGCTCTCATATGGAATTGTATGCTTTTATCTGACTTGAACTGATCAGATTGCAACCTTAAACAGTATCCAGGAGCATTTTTACAATTAATCATTAAAAAAGGACTTGAAACCAAATATTTAAAAAAAATTGTTTGGTTGAACATTTTGCTGTCTAGATAAGATAAGAAAACCTTTATTTGTCACACAATTGGAGAAATTCCCAATTTACAGCAGCAAAATTATGAAATAGAGAAAGTAGAAGAAAATAATATTCTTGTTTTATCCCCATAAGTGTCTAATAACTATTATTTATTCATGGGAGAAATGTATTTATTTTATTAAAAAAAAAAAAAAATTCTGTATGATCACTGTCATGCTAGTTTCCGTTAGCTAATCTGTGGTGTTCTCACAATATATATTGGCAAAAAAAAAAAAAATGGTGACATTCAAACAAAAGATATGGTTATTTGAACACCGCGGACATTGTAAGGAATCTTTAAATAAATAAATAAATAAACAGAAATAAAATAAATGCCCTTAACTCCATCTGCGACTGAGGAAATAAACTAGCCACTATTTGCGGGAGAACGGTATTTACACTTGAAGCGGTGTCTCCAGAGAGCCGGGATAAAAGCAGCCTTGGGCTGGTGTTAACAGGCCCAGTAAATGTAAGATTTATTTCCGAAATCCATTAGTGGGAGGGGGGAGGCGCCACGCGCGGCGGACGGACGCCTCGGGCCTCGGCGGAAGGAAGGAGCGCGACGGCAAATGCTTTTGAGGCCTGATTTAGCGCGGCGGGGCCTGAAGAGGCGTCAAGACAAGTGGCTAATATTTTAATTAAGGCTGAGAGAGAGCCAAGCGAGAGGCGGATAATAAACTCCCTCTGCTCTGTTGACGCTAATTTAGACATTCCCCGGAGACCGCCGCAGACACTTTGGGAGCCGGGCACGGTTGCATTGTGTACGGTCAACCCTTCCCCTCCCGTGCTAATTGGCGGACGCCTAGTCGCGTCCCATCCCGTCCGCGGAGGGGGCTTCTTGACAGGCTTTGGTCAGGCCCAAGTGGCCGACTTTGTGGGCTGTTTGTCGGGCTAAATGGAGGCAGATGGCAGGGATGGGCGGGGGACCCCCAAGATGCAGCAGGCGGAAGGGTTGGGGGTTCGCAGCGGGTCGCACCGTATGGGGCCGGATGGTGGCGGGGGGTCCCCCCTCGTACTCAATAGATAGCCACAGTCCATAAAATGAGTTTTTAAGTTGGGTTTGAGTGGCGACTGGGGCGGGGCTCTCACACCATCAGCTGTCTGTCAGTCACCACGATAATAGACGCGCTGTGCTCCTTTTTCTCTTTTGGTCAAAGAACCAAAATAATCTTGGTTTTCTACTAAATATTTCATCTTTTACTTTAATAACAACTACTATTTTTACTCTAATATTTACTTGTACTGTGCAAGAATGAGACCTAAATGAATGAAAATGGACAGTTTTGTCGCTCTTTTGCAGTTGTTGTTTGTACTTGACCAAAAATTTTTTTTAGGATTTGACACTGTAATTAGAATTGAAAAGAATGTTATCCACGAATCCCCCCCACCCAAAAAAAAACCAATTAAGCCCACTTTTTTGACATTCTGCTGTTTCCACAGTTGATTCAACTCATCCAAACTTCAAAAGATTCACAAAACCAAAAAAAGACAGATTTTCCCAGGATTCCATATTTTCCATGCAAAAAAAAGGAGACATTCAACGTCATTCAGGGCTGAACGGTTTTGAAAAATAATAAGATTGCAATTTTTATATTCCTTCAATGTTGCGTTAGCGATTTAATGTGGGGATTGTTTTTTTCCCAACATCTTCATACGTATTTTTTGAACAGACACAAGCAGTAAATTAATCCGTACTACAATATTATGTACAATGTATTTTTAGATTTTTTTTTTTTTTAATCGTGATCACAATTTGGGCTGGCGGGATTTAAAATGTCATCATATGTCCTCACGTAGGGCCATACAAGTGTATCGAAAAAAAAATTTCGTCATCGCAACAATGGCACTTGCAATATGCATTGTTTGAATGCTCTCATATGGAATTGTATGCTTTTATCTGACTTGAACTGATCAGATTGCAACCTTAAACAGTATCCAGGAGCATTTTTACAATTAATCATTAAAAAAGGACTTGAAACCAAATATTTAAAAAAAATTGTTTGGTTGAACATTTTGCTGTCTAGATAAGATAAGAAAACCTTTATTTGTCACACAATTGGAGAAATTCCCAATTTACAGCAGCAAAATTATGAAATAGAGAAAGTAGAAGAAAATAATATTCTTGTTTTATCCCCATAAGTGTCTAATAACTATTATTTATTCATGGGAGAAATGTATTTATTTTATTAAAAAAAAAAAAAAAATTCTGTATGATCACTGTCATGCTAGTTTCCGTTAGCTAATCTGTGGTGTTCTCACAATATATATTGGCAAAAAAAAAAAAAAATGGTGACATTCAAACAAAAGATATGGTTATTTGAACACCGCGGACATTGTAAGGAATCTTTAAATAAATAAATAAATAAACAGAAATAAAATAAATGCCCTTAACTCCATCTGCGACTGAGGAAATAAACTAGCCACTATTTGCGGGAGAACGGTATTTACACTTGAAGCGGTGTCTCCAGAGAGCCGGGATAAAAGCAGCCTTGGGCTGGTGTTAACAGGCCCAGTAAATGTAAGATTTATTTCCGAAATCCATTAGTGGGAGGGGGGAGGCGCCACGCGCGGCGGACGGACGCCTCGGGCCTCGGCGGAAGGAAGGAGCGCGACGGCAAATGCTTTTGAGGCCTGATTTAGCGCGGCGGGGCCTGAAGAGGCGTCAAGACAAGTGGCTAATATTTTAATTAAGGCTGAGAGAGAGCCAAGCGAGAGGCGGATAATAAACTCCCTCTGCTCTGTTGACGCTAATTTAGACATTCCCCGGAGACCGCCGCAGACACTTTGGGAGCCGGGCACGGTTGCATTGTGTACGGTCAACCCTTCCCCTCCCGTGCTAATTGGCGGACGCCTAGTCGCGTCCCATCCCGTCCGCGGAGGGGGCTTCTTTGGTCAGGCCCAAGTGGCCGACTTTGTGGGCTGTTTGTCGGGCTAAATGGAGGCAGATGGCAGGGATGGGCGGGGGACCCCCAAGATGCAGCAGGCGGAAGGGTTGGGGGTTCGCAGCGGGTCGCAGCCTTCTTGTTAGGACCCTCTATGGTGGGGGGGAACCATGTGCGCTGGGGCCATTTCCATGGAAATTGCGGGCTGGGAATTCCCCTATTGGGACGGATGGTGGTGGGGGGGACCCCCTCGTACTCAATAGATAGCCACAGTCCATAAAATGAGTTTTTAAGTTGGGTTTGAGTGGCGACTGGGGCGGGGCTCTCACACCATCAGCTGTCTGTCAGTCACCACGATAATAGACGCGCTGTGCTCCTTTTTCTCTTTTGGTCAAAGAACCAAAATAATCTTGGTTTTCTACTAAATATTTCATCTTTTACTTTAATAACAACTACTATTTTTACTCTAATATTTACTTGTACTGTGCAAGAATGAGACCTAAATGAATGAAAGATGGGGCGGGGCCCTCACACCATCAGCTGTCTGTCAGTCACCAGGATAATAGACGCGCTCTTCTGCTGTTTCTCTTTTGGTCAAAAAACCAAAATAATCTTGGTTTTCTACTAAATATTTCATCTTTTACTTTCATAACTACTATTTTTACTCGAATATTTACTTGTACTGTGCAAGAATGAGACCTAAATGAATGAAAGATGTTTTTTTTTTTTTTTTTAACATCTGTACCGTATGGAACCTTTGAGACCACCAAGAGAATCAGGTCCTCTCAAATTTAGTCCGATTTGATACAATTTAGTAGAAAACTTTGTTGGATGAGGCCTCAGGAACCACATGTTGTTAAATCACATGCTGTACATTAAGTCTGACAGTGTATTTCCTCAGAAATGGACAGTTTTGTCGCTCTTTTGCAGTTGTTATTGTTTGTACTTGACCAAAAAATTTTTTTAGGATTTGACACTAATTAGAATTGAAAAGAATGTTATCCACGAATCCCATGGACAGTTTTGTCGCTCTTTTGCAGTTGTTGTTTGTACTTGACCAAAAATTTTTTTTAGGATTTGACACTGTAATTAGAATTGAAAAGAATGTTATCCACGAATCCCCCCCACCCAAAAAAAAAAACCAATTAAGGCCACTTTTTTGACATTCTGCTGAACAGACACAAGCAGTAAATTAATCCGTACTACAAAAAAAAAACCAATTAAGCCCACTTTTTTGACATTCTGCTGTTTCCACAGTTGATTCAACTCATCCAAACTTCAAAAGATTCACAAAACCAAAAAAAGACAGATTTTCCCAGGATTCCATATTTTCCATGCAAAAAAAAGGAGACATTCAACGTCATTCAGGGCTGAACGGTTTTGAAAAATAATAAGATTGCAATTTTTATATTCCTTCAATGTTGCGTTAGCGATTTAATGTGGGGATTGTTTTTTTCCCAACATCTTCATACGTATTTTTTGAACAGACACAAGCAGTAAATTAATCCGTACTACAATATTATGTACAATGTATTTTTAGATTTTTTTTTTTTTTCGTGTTTGTTTTCTTCTTGAAGGAGGAACATGACACCTGACATGCCCAATTTCAATTCTTCAACTCATGCATCTTGATGTTTCCTCTGCGCCCGCTGCAGGTTCGCGGGGCGTACGGTGAGCAGCGAAGTCCTGGTTCTGGTTGTTCTGGATCTGAAGGATGAGGCGGGCGACGGCGGCAAGCTGACCGTCAACAGCGAGAAGAGCGTCATGGCATCCATGTTGCTGCGAGACCTCAAACAGGCCCTCACCCAGGCATAGAGATCAGCTCCGCCATATTTTTTTTTCCTCTTACACCAGGTCCCAGCCACATTACAAAAAAAACATTTGCTAATATTTAGTATGACGTATTAGCATTGTCCGCAAAAGCATTGCAGTAAATGTCCTTGAAAACACACTTTCACCATAAAGCTATCTAGCCAAGTGGCTTAAGTTTCATGTTTTCACTTTAATTTTAACTCGGGCTGCAATTAACAAATATTACCAGTAGAATATTGTCTTTCTAAACCCACAAACACGGCAGAGGCTATAAAAGCGCAGCTAGTTTGGCGGTAGCGAGCGTCAGAAAGCATTCGCAGAGCTTCACGTTTTCCCACTTTAATTGACGAGGAAAACTGCCGATATTCCACCAGCAGATCGAATGAAATGCTTGATATGGTGCCAGGCCGCAGCGAACAGCTGTAAAGCTCATCTGTCACGCCAACTCTGCTTGCATCCATCACCTCCGCGCTCGTTCCCCAGCACAGCTGTTTACTCACGCTGATGCTTTCCAAGCACATTTTCCAGGTCCTCTTTTTTTTCACAGCAGCCGTGTGTTGATCTCATCAAAATAAAACCAACAGTAGCGCGCGCAAATACGGGGGGGGGTGGAAAAAGTCTCGAGACCACTATTTGGATTCATCAAACCATGTTTCCATAGCATTGCTAAGCAACGTTATTATAGTTTATGAAAAATAACAAAAAGTAAAATTGAAAAAGGATTTTTGTAAACAAAGTAGAAGAAATAGGAAAATGCTTTTAAGAAATGGTAACTAACTTACAGAGTACATCTTATGTTTATAAAACTAACTCATTCTAGTGAAAATGTCCTTCATTTTCATCTTTGTCAATGTCACATATGAGCTTTTGGGCTTCATTTTAAATGTTTTATTTTTTTTTCGCGGTATTGCTCTACATCGATTCACAAGAAATAAGGTCAAACAGTTGGTTGAGAATTGGAGTTTACTTCACTTTATTGCTCAATACTTTGTTACCTTTTTTATATCGCGCTGAAAAAATACAGTATTGAGTGAAAAAATTAAAACTAATACTAAAACTAATAAACTAAAACCAAGTATTAAAAAAATTACAATCCTGCTCTAAAAACTACTTGAAACATTTTTAAAACAAAAGTAAAAACAAAAAGAAAACTATAATGAAAAATCCAAAACTATTATAATCATGTTGCTCATTCCGTGAACTGACTAACAAAAAAAAAGCTAAATTAATACCACATTCTAACAATCACTGATAAAACACTCGTATATCTTTTTTTTTTCGTCAAATTTCTGAGCGCCAGAACTTATTCTTGTCGCCAACATCAAAAATTCTTCGAGAACTGGGGATGGGGAATAATAAATGTCAAATTTCAAAGAATAAAGTTGAAATATTGCGTTAAATATGTCCTACCTTAATGAGAAAAAGTAAAATTAGAAGAAACTCCAAAATTAGACAAAATGTAAAATTTTGAAATTTGAGACGCTTTACACATGCATCTCCTGCTGTTTCAAAACATTCCAATTTAAAAATGTTTCACTTATCTAGGGAAGTACTTACCACATCCTCAACTTTTTACAATAAAATGACCCAAATCAAGAGATATTTTCAAACATATTTACCTCCTTCCACATTTCTCCCGTTTCAAACCATTCCAACTTCAAATTGTTTGGCTCAGATTTTAATGAACTGGCAATTTTCAAATAAAATTCTGAAACTGAGAGATGTTTTATGTCATTCAAAACCTTTCCATGTTTTCAAAATAAAAATTCCAAATTCTGAAATATTGAAATTGGCCTTTCACATTTCTCACTCAAGTCAAAGCATTCAAATTTCGAAATATTCAACTCATCTTGGGAAGTACACCCCCACAAAAAAAAAGTCAAATTTAACTCAATTTTATTTTGTCAAGTGGTTGCACGAAATAAAATCATCGGGATGCAGCTACTTTTTTTTTAAGCAAACGATACATTTACTTTTAAAAATGTATCTCGATCTATATGATCATTTTGCTTTTTGCATCCACTTGATGACATAAAATTGAGTAAATTCCACAAAACCTTTTTTTTTCCAGTGTACTAACCACATAACCCTCATTTCATGAGAAAAATCACAAATCAAGAAATCTTACATATTGATCTCCTTTGCACATTTTTTCATGTACAGTATTCAAACCATTCTAACTTCAAGTCTGACGCATTTTCACGAATCGCTTCATTCCAACGCATTTCATTTCAGCGTCAGCTTGTCAGCAATGACACGAATCGTCTGTCTTGTTTGTATTATTATCGTACAGGTATATCTAATATGGATTATTTCTGTGCGTGCGCAGCCGCTCATCTGAATGCTAATTGCCCTTTTAAAAAATCCTCTTTGCAGGCCCGCACCGAGACCTTCAATTAACCTATGCTCAGGCTGGTCGTTTATATATTTATTTTTTTTAAAGCGGGGGCGGTTAGGGGGAGTGTCTTGGTTCGGGAGTTAAACGCTCCTTTTGTCACTGAGACTGCCTAAATGGAGAGTGAAGGCGTTTTTTTTTTTTCTTTCTTTCACAATGACGGAGGGATTACGTGAATGGACTCCCCGTCGGGACAATTATCACGCTAGTTAGCATGTGAAAAGGCCGCACACATGTGGCCAAACGCACGCAGAGGATTACGCCCCCCAGACCATATCATCTCATCCTAATCCCTTGATAATCCTGTTAACAAAATTTGCCGAGTCCATTAAAAGCGCCGTTGATGCTTGAAACCAGTGGCCGCCACACAACCACCCAAAGCAACAAATCAATACTCATTACATGAACTCAAGTCCGCTAGCTCAATGCCAACATTGTGCCCCAGTTAGCACATGACGTGCCACGTTTCATGTTTTCGCTTAAATAACGTGAAGTTTCACTTTGTAATAAGAAGCTGTCACACTATTACAGGATAAGATAAAAGACTGGCGCGGTGTTCCGCGATGGCGTTTTAAGGCAGCCGGCATCCGTTGCGTTAGCTTACTGCTATCTGTTGCTTCCTTGGCGTTCTACATATTTGATCGACACTTCTTTACTTTACAATTCTAGACACAGGTCGCGTTCTATTTAAATGATATATTTTTCAAATGTATTGCGTTAAAATGCGAAACTTATGGTGTTAAAATATAAAACTTGAAACTGAACAACAAACAATGCGCACCAATGCCGTGCGGGTTTGTGACATGTTCGATCAGTATTTAAATGTGTCATATATTTCGACCAGGGGTGTCAAACTCATTTTTGTCACGGGCCACATTGTCGTTTCGTTTTCCCCTCGGAGGGCCGTTATAACTATGAATTTTGTAAAACCACACACTGTAAATGTTAAATCACCTCCACAGTGAACAACAACTTGATGGATAACTTGTTTTGAAAATCAGACGTCAAGAATAATGGCTTGTTTAAATATTGTTGTTCGGGATTAGATATGACAGTTTGACATTTCGGTTCAGCCTTCAGCAAGCATCATGGACGTTGACATGCTTGATTTGCTTTCGCGGCCACACAAGATGATGTGGCGGGCCAGATCTGGCCCTCAGGCCTTGACTTTAACACCTGTGATTTAGACACTCATTCTCTTTGGAACCATGCCAGACTTTTTCCATCTTGGGTGGGAATATAAAACTTGATTTGTTTTTTTTTCACATAATTTATAACTGCGCCATAAATCAAAATTAAGGAAGATCACTGAAATATTCATCATACATGCACAGTCACATCTTTCATGTTTTGTGCACTTGATCACAATTTGCCTTTTATTTGAAGTCACTTCTTGGAGGGCCTGGGGGTGATTTTATGTGAATGATTTATTTTTTTACCCCCCCAGTAGTCATTTGGGAATTTTTTTGTCATTCTTAAACAAGTCAGATTATGGTGTAGCTGTTTTCAAAAAATTATGTAGTTGTCGCATTTTTTTTTCCAATTTTTTTTTCTCAAAGAAATCATCAACACCCATGAATGAAGTTGCTTTTTTTTTCCTCCAACCACAAAAAAAAAACTGAAAAATTCTTAAAATGATGTTGCTTTCGAGGACCCACGTTGGCGTTTTCTTTGCTTCGCGACGGTGGTCATCATCTTGAGGCCAGGATGCAATCAACGTATGTCCTATTAGGTGTGCTAATTGCTAATGCATACTAATTAGGCTGGCGGGAGGATGTGATGGAAGGCGCATGTCCAAAAAGTGCTGGCTCGAAATTGACGCCGCACATTCGATCAGAGGGTAGAAGCGAGATGCTTCCACTCCAGCCAAGCCTCATTTTTTTGGAACATATTGAAAATATACCAGACAGACACAATATGTTTTATGTAGTTTTACACCTTTTACACATTTCAATTGAAAATTGACGCAAATCAAAACGACATCTATCTTAATCCCAACATATAATTTGATGCATCATAGGCAGGATAACGGAAATTAGCATTGTTGTTATGCTGATGATAAACCTTTAAGCGAGTGTTACTTAAAGCAACAGAAAAGCAGCCATACGCTGGATATCAAACGTCTACACACCTTCCTTCAAATGTCAGGTTTTTGTGGCATGAAAATTCTAAGCACCTCCAAACCCCTCGACTGACTCTGGGACCACCGTGCCACATTTATTTAGCACTCAAAGCTGTTTGATTGGCCGCTCCCCTCCATCCGCCAGATAAATAGCTCAGCGCTAACTGTCAGGCTAAACTAGGAAGCGAATAAATTATTTTAAATTCGCCCGGACGCTATCTTCTCCAGGGAGTTTACCCCCTGTAGGAAATAGTGCTTTTTGATGCGTGTGTGTGTGTCTATGTGCGAGTTGTCCGCCCGGACACTGGGAAGTGTCGTTTTTGATTAGCAGCCATGCTGTCAGTGTGTGAGGAGGAAGAGGAAGATGGGGGTAGGGGTGTGTGTCATGAGGAAGAAGCGGAATGCATTATTCATACACTCACCTGAGAAGTGGGGGAAGCGGGGGGCAGCTCTCCCTGAAACGTTGGGGAGAGAACACTTGACACAAGACAGCCCACAAATGCACACACACACAAAACGCATGTGCATACACACTCACACACACACACACACACACACACACACATTTATATGCACACGGATCACTGAGAGATGGATATATGTACATGAATCTACAGAAACATTTTAAAAGACAGCCATTTTATTTAGGCAAACAAATAGGATTAAAAATAACAAAAACTTCAAGAAAAAGAGATTAAAAAAAGGACAAAATGAAAAAAAAATTTAGAGACTTTTTGATATCTGAAAATGACGAAAACACACAAAAAAATGAAAAGTGATCAGAATGGCATTTTAAAAAGGGACAGAAAGACCAAAATAATGGGCAAAGTGAAAGAAAAAAAAATGGAAAGACCAATCTATCCAAAAAGGGACAAATATCAACCAAAATTAAGAAAACCAAAAGAAAAATGAAAAGACCAAATTGTCCAAAAATGGACAATATATCTCCAAAATTTAGAAAAAAGGATGGTTCCAAACAAGGAATGAAAAGGAAAAATTTGTGACTGTTTGGTGCAGAAATCAAACCTGTGATTATTAAAACAATTTAGCGCCTTGTGTGCGCTTGTTGAAATTCTCTGTCGGAATGTATTTAAAGTGTGAAAGGAAAAAAAACAAACGCAACTGCAGCCCGTTTTTCCTCTCCCTGTCCCTCTTTGATATCCGAAAACACAGAGGGGGTGGGCGCTGAGGAAAGGTCATGTGTGGACACCAGTCCCCGCCCCCCACCCTTGACTCCACCCCTTAATAACACATACATTTTAAATGTCTGTCCACTGACCCGTTGCCAAAAATGGACAATATATCTCCAAAATGGAGAAAAAAGGATGGTTCAAAACAAGGAATGAAAAGGAAAAATTTGTGACTGTTTGGTGCAGAAATCAAACCTGTGATTATTAAAACAATTTAGCGCCTTGTGTGCGCTTATTGAAATGTATTTCAAGTGTGAAAGGAAAAAAAACAAACGCAACTGCAGCCCGTTTTTCCTCTCCCTGTCCCTCTTTGATATCCGAAAACACAAAGGGGGTGGGCGCTGAGGAAAGAAAGGTCATGTGTGGACGCCAGTCCCCGCCCCCCACCCTTGACTCCACCCCTTAATAACACATACATTTTAAATGTCTGTCCACTGACCCGTTAGTGCTTATGGATGTCCCCCTCGGCCGGTGATTTGTTTAAACCGCGGAAATGGCGGTGGCGGTCTGTAAACAAGCCGAGTGCCGAATGAAGGCACCCACCCAAGCGTGGTGGCGGCTC